CTGGGGGTCGCCAAAGCTTCACTGGGAGGTCGGGAGGCCTTTTTGAGAAGAAAACATAACATTCACACAATAAGCCTTTATCTCAGCATTTGGTTCATTTATCTGAAGGAAACTGAAGTAAATTATTTGATAGAAAGTTAAATAATAACTTAAACTTTAAAAATAACAAGCTTTATTTACTCGCTGCTAAACAGCCTCATCATTAGGGAGAAGGAAACTTATTAAGCCTATTAATTATGTATGATTGTTAGAAATACAATAAAAACATAATACAGACAGGATTTTATAAAAATATCATCTAATGTATTCACAGGAAGTAATCTAAAAATAAAGGCTCCAAGTTGCTCATTTTACACAAACGTCCTGCAGTTATTGTGTTTTCTATTTGGGCTCATGGTACATAAAGTTTAATATAATATGAATAAATATCCATAAAATATATGTCAGTTTACTCATTTAAAGAATGTCAGAGCAGCATGTCACTGTTGGAGCTGCTGCAGGCGGAAACAACTACTTACTTACATGTAACTGAGTTACAGGATACAAAAAAGTAACTATAATCTGTTAGTAACAGAAAAAATACAGATTACAGTTAAATTTAGTAAAGATTTTGATTTTGATTTTGATATTTAGCAGGCTTACAATCAGTTTTTCTTTAAAAATACACAGAGATACAACATCGTTCTGTTGTCTGATAGAAAACATTAATACTTCTTATTGATATTTATCTTGTTTTTATCTTTATATTTGGTGTTGAGGTAATCCAAAAGTAACAGAAAGTAATCCAATTGGATTAGGTTACTGAAAACATTTTCTAACAGGTAAATAGTGACTGTATCAGATTAGTTTAGTCTTCTGGTTCCTAATCTACGGGGGTCGGGCCCCTCCAAAGGGTCTTATGATAGTCAGAGCGGACGACAGGATGTTTCATAATTTAGTTTAGTAACTATGAGGCTGCAACAGTGTTTGACTTTGTAAGAAGTTTTCTCCAGATTAGTTTTTGTTTCTTTTTCTCCAGTTTACGATCAAATTTCAGGAAAACACCTAAAAACACCAGACGGCTGTAAACCAAAGTGGGGCCTGTGGGCCAATATTGGTCCGCCACAAGGTTTGATTCAGGCTCTACTCTAGTAGAAAAATATATTCATAAATAAATAAATATTGATTTGCTCTTTAAATATGTAGGATCATTCATTATTAGCTGTTGCTGTTTGCTTTTGACCCACCATTAAATGTCAGTTTTGGCCCTCTGAGGGAAAAGGGTTGTGCACCCCTGCTGTAAACATTGAACACAAAATACCAGAAAAAGGTCATTAATTTAAAATAGTTAGTTAAATGAGTTAAAATAATTTGAATTTGAGAAGTAAAGGACAGCACAGTGTTTAGTTCTGTTTGTTTTATTGGAGTTAGGGTTACAGTGAAGACCTTAACTTGAGGTAGAATCGTCCCCTAACTGCAGTTCATGTCTAAGATTAGGTTACCCTAAAGAGTTGCAAGCTTTGTAGGAGGAGTAAAGAAACCACCTCCTCCGTGGCGGTGGACAGGCGTCGCTCTGAGGTCCTCCGGGGGCTCAGTTTGGGAGGGAGCGCTGAGAAAGAGGGCCGCCCTCCTCTTGCTGACACCGATGGCAACATGAGTCCAGCTTTTATTTCCTAAACTGAGCGATGGGAGATGGGACTTTGATGTCCTGTCCCTTCTCCAGCTTCTTCTCACACTCAATCAGGTAGTTGACCCCATCGACCAACATCTGGACCAGCTCCACCTATAAAATACACCCGGCAGAGTTCATTCTGGTGGCTCCGAGGGGCCAAAAACGTTGATAATTTGGAATATGCTGTGTTGATCCTCACCTCAGATTTGCCCAGACGGTCATTGTTGGAAATGTCAAAGGTGTCTCCAGTAGCGGCTGTGTCCACTCCTCCTGTGCCTCTCTTCTGCAGCCGCAGGTTGTCGAGGATTTTGGAGAAACGAGAATCCTGCAGAGGGATTTTCAATCATTTGTAACTACAGAAAATGCTGCTTATTTATAAACTACAAGAGCACATATGCAAAAGGTAATACTTCTGTGGCTTTAAGATGAAGCCAAAGCAACAAAAAGTTCCTCAAACGGCCACTAGAGGCTGGCTCTATCGCCATAAGGCCTCATATTAAAATGCCCAAATTTACAGCAGCAATAAACATGTTTACAGCCAGCTAACTTCCCCCTCGATGACGACTGTAAGGGGGCTGGATTCGGTGCATTAGTGAGTATTTGGGGCAGCAGGACGGTGTATGTGGGACTGAGCCAACTACAGTGTGTGTGTGTTCATGGTGGCTCACTGAGGTGTTTTTAATAGTTTTTCTACATCAATGGAGCTCTATGGCTCAGAGGAAGAAGATATATCAGGCTTTGATAAACACACAGATTTAGTTGATGAGAAAAAAAACCAAACAGAATTATTCCTTAAATTGTTCAGAATATCTGCAATTGTATCTTCAGAGGAAGATCATGTGATGGAAAGCTCAGGAACAGCCTCTAAATGGACCACCCAAGGTTTAAGTTGTATCTGTGTGTGTTCTTGTTGAGTCGTAGCTTTTACATTATAAGTGGGACTCTGTGTGTGTGTGTGTGTGTGTGTGTTACCTGGCTGAGTTTCGGCAGGCGTACGTGCACGCCCGCCCTGAGACCGGTGCCCAGGTTGGAGGGGCATGTGAGGATGTATCCCAGACGCTCATTCCACATGAACTCCCAGCCTCTCTCCTGGATCAGATGCTCCACCTACGAGACATCACATGACCAGAAAAACAAGCTGGTGTAAGAGAAACAAACAGTCCCGATAAAGCACTTATATCCTACATCCATAGATCACCAGACTCCACTGCACCTGTTTGAGTCCATTGCAGAATCTCTCAAACACTCTCTTCATGTTGCCTCCTTTCTCCATGGAGATGACTCTGGTGTGGTCCTCCTCATTCACCCAGATGAGGAAGGTCTTCTCATTGTTGTGCCTGAGGAGAAACAGCTGAAGGAACTAAATAAAGAGCTCTCCAGGTAAAACTCTCTTTCATTACAGAAGATGACTCACTCTCATAAAGGACCTGATTCTGCAGACACTTTGATATTCATGCGGCGTGTCTGTGCAAAAGTAATCTGTGCAGCAGCTTTGTGAGAGACACATGCATTTGTAAAGGACAATACACACCAAATGGAAAACAATAGAAAAAACATAATTTCCTGTTGGTATTTTTTTACACCCGCATGCGTCAAAGCCAAAGTAATAACTGAGTTCTTCTGCTGAGCTTCACCTGATGTAGAAGATATATTAAAGATCCCCTCCAGACATGTATTAAGACACATATACAAATAGTTGCTTGGAACAATAATGTGTGTCTGATATGGGTTTTCCCACAAAAAAAGTAAAATTTCCACATTAAAATCCTCAAAAAGAATGAATAGTTTGTTTGCAGATGGCGTCACGTCACTTCGTTCATGTGGCGAAAACTGCAGATAGAAGGCAGGAAGTGATTATCTACATTCTCTACCTGCTCTTAACATGCTGTTTACAGTTGCTCAGATATATCCAACTGAGAAACCACAAGGAGCTTTAATCGAGTACCAAAAGTTGTTCAAAAGGGAAAAAAATACAAGAAATCGTCTGAAAATCTGAGAAAAACGTCTGAATTTCACTGAATAACGTGACTGCAAATGAGCTATATGCACAATTTGCTGCTGGACACAAGATGTC